GCTCCTTTAGGAATTGGTCCTCTGATTTGGCCTCCCTGTAGCAATGGTGAGCTTTATCCCAGCTTTCATAGCCAAGACCTTTCAATTAATAGCTAAAGTTTAGACATAGATTGAAAACTTCATTGCATATGTAGACCTCAGAGCTCTGACCAGGTAAAAATAATAAACAAGACATTAAAAGAAACCTCTAACAAAACTCCCATTAGAGTCCAGCAAAGGATGGATAGATGTCCTTCCTTTGCTTTGCTTAGGGCTTGCTACACTCCATGTAAGGAGGGCTTTACTGTGGGATTGTGTTTAGATTAGCTTCCCAGACTCCGAGACCAGCAGTTGGCAGAACTCTAACCGTTGCTGTCTCTAGTCCCCCCGGGCCCTCCAGGCTGCTATACAGACTATTCAGTGACTATGGAAGAGTCTTCTTAGTCTACCACCGGTTTCCCCTTGTGTGAGTCCAGTGAGACTGTCTCAGTCAAGCCAAAGGGGTGCGGGAACTAACCAGGAAGGGCGCATACAAGCGGACTCTCCCTACTCCTAAGGCAGTGAAGGGAGCTGACGTTACACCTTGCATCCACCGTACCCTGATCAGGAGAGCAAAAGCCACAGATGCTGCTGCCAAACGGACTGTCTCTGGACTAATTGAAATTAAGGTTTCATTGGGCCCCGGGGCCTTCCACTCCACGCCCCTCTACCTCCTCCTGAGTCTTGTGTTTTGTCCTATGGAAACAAGTCTGGAAACTGAGGAAGACGGGTACAAGGAAGGTGGTAGCCATGTGACAACAGAACAGCTACCCATACTCCATTTTGACCTTTACATACTGATGTCCACTTTAAATATCTGACTGTATCTTAAAAAGAAAATCAGTTCGAGTGTAGCTTTTGAGATACAGATACAGGGTTTGCAATTCTATGCACCCAGCAGCTGGGCCCCCTCGTTGACAGAAACAATAGAATTTCCATTGCAAACACTGGGGTTGTAAAACAGAGGCTTCCCAAAAACACACGGATGAGCACACAGAAGGAAAGCTCCCTCCCAAGAAATGCACAATAGGGAAATGTAATCTAATGGCCATAACATCAAAAGTCTGGAAATTCTTTAAAAAATATTCTGGCTTTTGAGAAACAGAACAGATCTGGGGAATCAGACTCTATGCCACAGGAAGGGACCCTGGGGATAGAGTTAACCACTCCTAGCCAGGAATCCGCCGGACTTTCTGGCTGTGCTGAGACCCTGAGACCCTGCACCACACAGGGAGAGGAACACAGCTGACTGTCAGCCCAATGACTGACAGAACTCTCTGTGACCAGGGGCAGCCCAAATTAACAACAGACAACTAACGAAGGGCCGAAACTTGTCTAATGCCCCAAACATCTCAGCTGGGCACTCCCCCTTATCCTAATGCCCGCTGCTCTGCCCTGTAGGTTAATTCATCTGGGTAACAGCAACGTTACCGAGCTCCTGAGTTAGCCCACTTGGTGGGAGTGGACCAAGGGTTTGACTAAATCTGCCTCTTCTGATGCTTTCCAAAGTAAATAGACAGGTTGATCAGGACCTAGAGATATTAAAACCATGGTTAGATTCCCTTGCAGAAATGATCCTACAAAACTGAAAAGGCTTAGACTCAGTTCTCATGAGGTAAAGGAAGCTGTTTCTATGTTAATTAATTGGTCAGTAGAAATTAAAAAGGAACAAACAAACAAACATAAACAAACCTTGCCATGGTTAGAGAAGAACTCAAAACTTAAAAACTAAAAAAAAAGAAAGAAAGAAAAAAAATACCAGCTTAGTCTCTTGGTCCTCTGGCTAACTACTCTGCTATCAGCACTGATTGGGCCTTCAATTCTCATTCTGTTTGGGTTAGTGGTGGGCCCCTGCATCTTAAATTGTATGGTCAAATACATATCAGTTTAGTAAAATAATGGTCCTTAGCACAACTGACTCCATGATAAAGGTACCATTCAGGCCATAAAACAGAATGTAGACAGCATTACCTGCCAAAACTAAAACAAAGGCCTAATCCATTAAAATCCATAGTTCTGGGAAAGTCTCTACGTTGACTAATCTTGCCTTTGGCTTCTGTAGTTCTGTGTTCGGCTAACTGATCTTGTTAACTGAAGTATGTCAGCCCAGGACATGGTTTTTATGCTTAAAAGCTCACCCTGATGAAGGCCTGGGGCTGATTTGGCGTTTCACATGCCCAGTGTAGTCACCTCCCAGCTAATAAAGACTAAACCTGTGTTTAAGCAGTCCCCTCTAGTGAATACCTCACAACAATACTAACTATTGTTGAAAGAGTTTTTCTTGGGGCTGGAAAGATGGTTCAGCTGTTCAGAGCACTTACAGCTCTTGCAGACCTCAGTTTCTTTCCCGGCAACTATGTGATGTGGCTCACACTGCCTACAACCCCAGCACCAAGTGACCCGATGCCCTCTTCTGCCCTCTGTGGGCACTGCAATCACATGTATCTACCTCTACACAGAAACACACAAACACATTTAAGTGAAAAAGTAAAAGAAATCTGCTGGGTTTTGTTTTGTTTGGTTTTATTCTTTTCTTTTCTCCCCCCTCCACCTCTATGTAGTCCTGGATGTCCTGGAACTCACTCTGTAGATCAGGCTGGCCTTGAACTCAGAGATCCACCTGCCTCTGCCTCCTGAGTGCTGGGATTAAAGGTGTGCACTACTACCTGCCTGGCTTTGCTTGCCCTCCCTCTCTCCCTCCTTCCCTCCCTTTTGGAATTTTGTTGTGAGAAAAAAATTGCATTGATACAACCTGGGGGACAGAAGGAAGCAGTGGCCATCCAGAAATGTCTACAGGAAGCCCTTCTTGCAGGGCTCTGTGCATCAGGATCCCTCCTCTGCAGCATCTTCCCCTCTGTTCCTCCTATCTCAGTCCCTCTATCTTCCTTCTCTCCTTTGCTCCCTCCTTCCCTTCTAGATGAGAAACACAAACACACACACTTTAAAAATAATAAGGTATTTTAAAAATGAAAGAAACATAAAAATAATAGGTTGCATAATGGCTATATTGTGCCCAGTTATAAATGCAATATCTGTATTACCCCTTCAAGGCTCAGGAAACATTGCAGAAGAGGAGACGAAGGAGTGGACAAGCCAGGGAGAGGCTAGGCTGACCACTGCTGGACAGTGTCTTCTGCACATGGCAAGGCCACTGTACTCATGAACTCACTGCTTTGAATCCACTGCTGTGGTTACCTGCACAAGGCCTGCCAGACCTGACTGAGATTAGGCCTGTCAATCATCACAGATGGGGAGGAGCTTGCCTCGCCCTCACGGGGAACTGTGGGCAACCATGGATTACAGCCATGGGAAGCAGAGCCATTTTCTCCAGTGATGTATACACTGGTAAGTGCTCCAATAAATACCCCCTTCCATGCTCAAAATCAAAGGCATCAAAATGGGAGGAGATGGGCTCTTTCTGTAGGCGTGAGAGTGGGCAATCAGGAAGGGGTGTGTCAAATTTTGGTATATGCATGTATGAAATTGTCAAAGAAATAAAATAAAATAAACAAATAAAAAAAGAGTAATGGGAAGGTAGAAAAAAGGCCCCTTGTGTAGATATTCTTTCTCCATTTCCTGCTTAGCTGAATGCCTGGGGTAATTCAATAGGCATTGCACACAGTTCTGAAACAAACGGGAATCCGGTGCACGCCTGTAATGCCAGCATTTGGGAGGCAGAGGCAAGTGGATCTCTGTGAGCTCAAGGCCAGTCTGGTCTACAGTGCAAGTCCAGGACAGCCAAGACTACACAGATAAATCCTGTCTTGAAAAACTAAAACAAAACAAAACAAGCCAGCCCACACACACAAAGAATTTGATTAGAAGGTAGATGTGGAGGCTCATGTCTCTGATCCCAGCACTCAGGAAGCTGAGGCAGGAGAGTTGCCTGAATTTGAGGCCAGCCTGAGCTACACCACAAGTACAAGGGCTAGCATGGGCTAGCAAGATCCTGTCTCAAAAACAAAACAGATACAACAAATAACAAGATCAAAAGGAAACCCAAGGCACTAGAGAGATGGCTCAGCAGTTAAGAGCCTTGGCTGTTATCAGACTGAACTCAGGTTCACTCTCAGTTCAGCGCTGGGACCTGAACTTGGGTCCTCTGAAAATAGTCATTTCCAGGGGATCTGACATCCTCTTCCAGTCTCTCCTGGCACCGGGCACACAGGAGGTACACAGATATGCATGCAGACAAAATACCCACAACACACAAAATGTTTAAAAAAATCTTTAAAGGGGGATTTAGTTAGAATTCAATTCCCAGTAGCCCACATTGTACATCCCTGACCACTGGGCTGGGGGGTCTCTGCTGGTCTCTGTTCTTCCACCCCTGGGCTCTCTGCTTTCAGCTCCCCACTGAGTCCTCATGCCGCTGTCCCCTACCCAGCCCCTTTCTGGGAAGGTCCTGCTCAAGGTGTCTAAGGGCCCTGCCCTCCCAGCTCATTCCTCTCTGGAGTGGGGATTAGAATCCTGCTCATCAGACACCTTGAGTCATTGTCCTCTGGGCCCATCCCCTGGGCTGGTTTGGGGGGTGGGCAGTGGGGCTGGGTCTTCCTGGAGCTGTGAAGCTCAATTAAGTGTCATTAGCTGAAGAGAGTTTCTGCAGGATTAGAGCCAGGCCCCACCCTGTGTTCCTCGTCCTCTTCCACCCCACCGCCACACGGAAATCCGATGAGCTGAGACAAAGGGATCAGGTGGGGCATCATGACAGGTGGACAGTAGGAGAACTGACTCTCAGGGTGGCCAGCCGATGAAAGGGCAGGAAGGTAGGTGGACGGGGAGATAGCAGAGGCACAGAGAGGCAAGCTAGACAGGTGACTAAGGCATCGGAGACCGGGCAAACAGGTAAGAAAATGGAAACTGTGAAGGAGTGGCCTGGGGCACAAGGGGACATAGAAAAGGGGGCAGAGACAGGGGTACTGCATGGGAGAGGTGAGCTCAGATACTCCATCTTTCCGGGCAGATTCTGGAGGCAGTCCACCATGAGGCCCAGCATTCTCTGGCTCCTGAGTGTTGTGGGTGAGTTTTCTGAGCCAGGGTGGGATGGAAAGTGGGGGGGGGGTGGCTGCCCTGGGATCGGGTCCTTCCCTCCCCTGCTTGTCATAAAGTACTAATTGCTGCCCCCCAACTTGGTGCTGAGGATGGGGAACAGGTCAGCCCTCCTTAGCTGTCTCCTTGTATCCATGGCATCATCCAGCTCGCTCTGCTATTCATCTCCCATCTCTTTGTTTAGTTTTTCTGAAGCTTGTGTGAGCTCTCCTGCCTCAGTCTCCTGAGCGCTAGATGTCAGGCATGTTCCATCACATGTAGGATGTCAGGCATGTACCATCACACGCACCCTCAGCCGTTGTCTCTTTGCCTCTTACTTTCCTGTACTTTCTCCCACCCACATCTTTATGCTTAACCCCATTTCTCCACCTCAGGCCTCAGCCAGGCAGACAGGGAGAAGATCTTTAATGGTGTTGAGTGTGTGAAGAACTCACAGCCTTGGCAGGTGGGGCTGTTCCATGGCAAATACCTGCGCTGTGGTGGTGTCCTTGTGGACCGCAAGTGGGTCCTTACAGCTGCTCACTGCAGTGGCAAGTAAGCCTCCCGGATGGGCCCTCCTCGGGATGAGCAGAGGAACACGCCATGGGAGGTGTAGGTCTCCCCTGACGGTATCAAGAGGTTGTAGTCGGACAACTTCAGGCTAGAGGTGCAGAAGAACTTCCTGGAGTGGGGCTGTGTGCTGCCTCGTGGGACCTGGTGCAAATGGGTGGAGGAGCAGGGATGGTGCCTTTGTTTCTCTCCCACTTCCTCCTGTGCCGTTGCCTTTCCTATACAGTGTTTAATCACCAGCCCCAGGAATTCCTTGACCCCAGCTAGACTCAGGGTGTCACTGAACTTGAGTCACAGCCTGTACCCCAAGAAGCCAAGTTCAGCCACCCTTCCTTGAGAAACCAATTAAAACAGACAAACTAATAGTAAAAAGGAGATTTACTCAATGTGGCTACTGTGGGAAGAGGACAGAGCCCCAGTGAGCCCCCCTAGTCGTCTTCAGGGTCCTGGAGTGAGATGAGGTGTGAATGGAGGGCTAATGTCATTCTCCTCTAAGCAGTCCAAGATGTGCTCCTACCCACCACTGAGCCATCCTGGTCTGGGCATCAGTCCCCACCCATAAAGGGGTCTGGCCAGCTCTCAGAACTGTCTGAAATCTTTTTCTCAGAGACGTTACCCTCCAGTTGGCACTTTTTCCTTAGCATTCCTAGGAAGGAAATTCCCATTTCTTCTGGGTCCATTGCTCCAGTTATCTGATAGACAGGGTGACAGACACTAGTGTCTCCTTAGAGTATCTTTATTTTGCCTGCTGGATGTGCACACCTTTAGGTAGACAAAACACCAGCCGGGACCCTCCCTGAGCCATCCCCCCCAGATGATCCACTTGCTAGGTCTGGACTTTGTTGTAAAAGGGGGGGCCCAGATTTCAAGGGACCAAGAGATTCCTTGCAGGAAAGAGAGGTGGTGTACTCCTTATCCATTGCTCGGCAACAGCCCTGGCAGCATTGCTGGTGCTGGCCAGGGGGATAAATATGGTAGCCGCTATAGTAGAGGTCATCCTGCTCCATGACATCTGCTGTCAACGAGCAACAGAAAGAGGTCATATGAGTAGAAGACTAACCCAACACACACAGATGATGGGGGACAGAGACTCAGAGAAGGAGGGGGGGAGAGACAGAGAGAGGTAAGGGTGACCTATCTGCTACCCACTGACCAACCATTCCCTCAGATACGTGGTGCGCCTTGGGGAACACAGCCTCACCAAGCTGGACTGGACGGAACAGTTGAGGCTCACCACCTTCTCCATAACGCACCCCAGCTACCAGGGTGCCCATAAGAACCATGAGCATGATCTTCGACTCCTGCGGCTGGGTAGACCCATCCGAATCACCCACGCCGTCCGGCCACTGGCCCTGCCCAGCTCCTGTGCACCTATGGGGGCCAAGTGTCATATCTCAGGATGGGGTACCACGAACAAGCCATGGGGTAAGAGGGCCCTGAGGTTGGGGGTGAGGGATGTTGAGTAAGAGGTCAAATTGTTCACTTCAGGGAAAGCATGGGTGTGGGGTTAAACAGCAGGGTCAAGGGTCATGGTAGGCAGGAGATTTTAGAGTCACGGAGGTTAAGGGGATTGAGTAGGGAGCCAGAAGCCAGAGGTCAGAGTAACTCGAGGGGTCATAAGGACATCATGAGTCATGGGCTTAGGTGTCAGAGGTCATTACAGAGCTGGTACCTGCTGGGCCTCTAGTCTCAGGTACTTTGGAGGGTGGAATGTTGAAGGCAAGCCTTGGGAACAGAGTAAGAGCCTGTGTCAAAATAAAAAGTGAAAATGTCTGTAGATGTGGCTCAATGGTAGAACCCCAGCCCAGACCTCTCTACTGAGCCCTTAGGTTCAGTCTCCACTAGGGTGGGAAGCTGAGCTCACCGAAGCACAATCTGGTCTGCATTTGGAAATCAGAGGGTTTGGGACAGGGCTTCTGTGTCATGGAATCTGGGGTCAAATGGTCCAATATCAGAAGACTTTTTTTTTCTTTGAGTTGAGATGAAATGAGTGAAAGTTTGGAAGATGCAGAACTGAGGTCTGAGCTAAAGTGAAACTAAGAATGTGGGTTCAGTAGGAAGAAGACACGAGTGAGGCTGGATCACGAAGCAATGATGTCAAAGGTCGAAAAACCAGGCTGATGACCTGGGGAGAAGGGTCACTGTGAAACCGAGTCATGAAACTCAGAGTGTTTAGGAGGCAGCAGGGTTGAGGGGAGAGATAGAATTTGGTTTGAATGTCCTTGGAAAGAGTGTAGCCTCAGAGTAGGGATCTCAGAGGACCCCTGTGTCACCCATCTTCCCTTTCCCCAGAACCATTCCCAGACCGGCTTCAGTGCCTCAACCTCGCCATTGTCTCCAATGACACATGCTGGGCCGTGTTCCCTGGAAGAGTGACGGAGAATATGCTGTGTGCGGGTGGTGAAGCCGGGAAGGATGCTTGTCAGGTGAATCAATTCAGAGTGGTGACCGACCACTAGGGACAGAAAGCAGGCAGACAATAGGAGGGGAAGACAAAAGCTTTGGGGAGGGGGAGAGTCAAGAGGGACACAGATAGACTGCTGGGGTGTAAGGAATTTATTAGGAGAGTTCTTAATGCCATGGACAGACAGACAGAGGCGACAGCATGGCAGGGGCTCCGAGGAGTGTTCAGGCCCCAGCACCAGGGTCAGCGAGCACTGCAGGACCCTGAAGAGGCATCAAAGTCCACATGGCAAAAGAGGAGGCGTCTCTTTATATACCTTTCTGAGAGTGGGTTAAGTTTCAGAGCAAGACCCTGCAGCCAGGGTCTGGTTCCCAGGTGGGAGGCACTGAACGAGGCGGGGCGGGGGGGGCGCAGCTGTGTGACCACCAATACTCGTTTTGACGAAACTCATTTCCCAGGTGGGGAATCGTGGCACCTGGAGCTCTGTGAGCTCGGGGCTGGAAGACAGTATCTCTGTACAGTGGCCGTTGGTGTGTGTGAGAGGGGAAGAGGAGGCTTGCTGCCAAGTGTGACAGCTTGAGCCGCAGCTGGATTCTGACCTCACATTCTTACAGAAATGAGGAAAAGCGGAAGAGACCCAGACCCGGGAGGTGGGAGGTGAAGGAGTGGGGTGGGGGAGATGGGAGACTCTGAGGGGATAGGAGGGAGGAGCCCAGAATGGAGGGGCAGGAGGCGGAGGGGGGAGCAAGCAGGCAAGCAGTAGAGGGCAGAGAACTAGCCAGGACTGGATATGTCAGGGCCCCTTCGCTGGTTCTCCAAGGCTTCCCCACCATACACCAGCTGGGTTACCCATGTTAAGAGAGAGGGTTTGGGTGAAGGTCACAAAACCAGCTGATTGTGTCCGTGCGTGGAGCTGCATCCTGGTCTCTTGCTCATCCTAGAACAGGACACTCTGTCATAGGGCCCAGATACCAACCAATCCCCTCAGAGCACCTATAGACCAGCTTGCAAGAAAGCATTCCCTTCACTGATTGGCCAGAACCACAGTTGGGTGGCATCTTCCTTCCTATTGGCTAGCTGTTCCCGTGTTTTTCATGTGAGCTAGCTGTGTTGGTTTCTCCAAGGGACTGGCTTGGAGCCACTTTCTGTAAGTAGCTGTCTCGTTTCTGTCTTCTAGGGCGACTCTGGAGGACCCCTGGTGTGTGGAGGGGTTCTTCAAGGGCTGGTTTCCTGGGGATCCGTTGGACCTTGTGGACAAAAGGGCATTCCAGGAGTCTACACCAGGATCTGCAAATACGTGGACTGGATCAGAGCGGTCATCAGAAACAACTAGCTGCATCCCCTGTCTGCATAGCGCTCCTGCCTGCACGCAGCGCTGCTTAAGGCCGCTCTGACCCTCGGAGCACCGGCGTCTCCTCCCTCGACACTCCAAGCTGCTCCCACCCTTGTGAGCTTGGAGCCTCTTGAAACCTCAAGTGTGCCTATGAAAGTGGAAAGGGGCCTGTCTAACTGTCTGGAATAAAAGTTATACAACCAAGGGAAGGGGCTGTTTAATATGCAGTTTAAGACTGGAGGAAACCAGGAAGGGCAGGAGTTTCTGCCAGGCGTGGTTGCATAGGTCTGTGATCGCCTCACTCCTGCGAGTGGAGAGGTGAGGATCAGGAGTTCAAGGCCATTGTGGTATACACTGTGAGTTTGAGGCCATTCTGAGCTTCATGAGACCCTGTCTCAAAGTAAACAGGCCAGGGGTGATGGCTCCAAGTTCAAAGCCTCACTTGGCAGGCTAATCCCTTCCTTGAGTTTGAGGCCAGCCTGGCCTACCGAGTGAGCCCTAGGCCAGCCAGGGCTACAGAGTGGGAATCTGTTTGAAAATCGAAGCTTAACTTTTAAATTATTTTTATTTTATGTGTATGGGTGTTTTGCCTGCGTGCATGTCTGTGCAGCACGTATATGTAGTGCCCACTGAAGCCGGAAGAGGACACTGGGTCCTCTGGGAGTAACGTTACACACGATTTTGAGCCGCTGTGTGAGAGCTGGGAATTGAACCAAGGCCCTCTAGGAAGAGCAGCCAGTGCTCCTAACCGCTGAGCCATTTCTCTAGCCCCAGCTTTTGGCTTTCTCATGAACTGGACGTAAATGACTGGAGTGGAGGTAATGTGTTATGCCTCACTGCACCATAGTGTTCATATGTTCTGTCTGGGATGGGATGGGATGCCATTCTGTTTTCCTGTATCAGAGATGGTCCAAGGTGGTCTCGGAATGAGACAACACAGCCACAGTAACGCAAGGCTGTGCCTGCCCCATGGGTCCTGTCTCCACGTTCTCTTCAGAAGGCAGAAAAAAAGAGATCCAGCTCAAAAATGCCTAGGAGGGGACTTGGTGTACTGGCCCAAAAGCACAAGGATGAAGGCCCTTCCCGGCATCCTCCTGGCCTTTACCCCCGCTCCACCCCAAGGCAGGGCTGGCACCCCCATGTCACAGATTAGAAAACTGAACTTCCCTGGGGTGGAGTCGCCCATCCCACGTCACCTGGGTAGGAAGAGGCAGAGCCCGTAGGGTTTGAGGCCACGGTTGGCTGCCGGCAGAGCCTGGGCCTACCCCGCCTTGTCCTACATCTGGTTAGGGGAGAAAGGAGAGGAAGGCCTGGGGAAGAAAGATCTGAATGAAAAACACATAAGCTGGGAGAAGTGAGGCTTCGAACCTGGAGCTACCCGATGAGGAGGCCCAGGGGGCTGAAGAGTGACAGGAAATTATCTACAGTACCCAGTAAGTGCTGGAGGCCTGGGCAGCGGAGACCTGGGAGAGGAGGGAAGGGTCAGCAGAGAAGCAGAAGCAAGGCCCGGCGGTGGAGCCCTGGGGCCCTGGCACACCTGCTGTGGTTTCTTCTCCTTTCTTGAGCCACAGCTGTCACAGGCCCTGACCTGCCTCCCCCATCGTCCTGTCCTGCCCCTTCACCAGGCAAGCAACTCCACCTCTGTGCCGCCCCAGATTCCCCCTCTTCTTTCTTTGGAACGGAGAAGGGAGGGCCCAAAGGAAGCCAAGGGGCCCACTGGGCTTAGGCTGTAAGGAGGAAGAGGCCCATAGAAGGAGAGACAGCAATGGAGGCTTACTGAGGAGACAGCGACAGGCACAGAGGGAGGCCTAGAAAGGGATGGTAAAGACAAAAAGCCGAGACAAGAGGAGACAAGGATCAAAAGACATGCAGGGACAGAAACACAGAGAGGCAGAGAGACCAAAATCACACACAACACGATGGGATGGGAGAGAGGGGAATGGCGGGGCTGAGACTCGGAGACCTGCTGGGAAGGAGAGAGTGTACCTACAAGGAGAAGAGGCCACAGGAAAGAGAGGGCCTTGGAGAGGTGACATCCTGTCTCCCAGACCCCAAGGCTGCTTTGGGAGGGCCCACACACACCCCTCCCCCAGGGCGATAAGGCAGCTAGGAGCCAAGTCATCTCAGGCTTTCCCCAGGGCCAATCCCCTGCCTGCCTGCCTGCCCACCTGCTACTCAGACCAGCCTGCCACTGGGGCCCTCCGGAGCCCCATCCCCAGAGCCCACGAGTGAGTGCATGAGGGAAGGGAAGGTTCCCCTACCCCCACTCAGTCCAGGAGACTACCATCCTAAAAGCTAAGCCTCTTCTGGTTTAGCATGCTTTCCCCCTCTGATCTGTGCTTGGAAGGATGGGAAGGGATGTGAAGCCACACTCTGCTTCTCTCTGTATCTCTCACCTCCAAACTGCTGCCCCCAAACTCAATGACCTCTGTCCCCAGTTTAGGTGGCTAAGTCCTGCCCTTCTCTCCCACCCCCGCCAGCCAGGGCAGCTGTAGGCACTGGCTGTCTCTTGGCCAACCACACCCAGCCCTGTCCAGCTGTTCTTCACAGGGGTTCAGGAAGGTAGAGGGAGGAACCTCACTGGGACAGACTTCATAGGACCCTGTTACCTGCTATTGGGACAACAAAAATGAGGTTCTTACCCAGCAGGTAGTCCCTTCCCCTTGCCTGCCCATCACTGAAGTTGTGGAGCAAGCCAGGTTCTCAGGTGAGAAGAAAAAATATTCTTTCAGATTTCTCCAGGGGTCTCTCTTCTCCACTGGCAACTTAAACAAGTGAGCCCAGGAGCCTTGCACAACAAAGCCCCTCCCAGCAGCTTTGTTCTCAGCACCCAGGAAGCTGCTAGCCAGGATCCAAGCCTCTGCCCTCACTCCAGAAGCAGGTTCCCCTGGGGGAAGGAGGCAGGTGGTCAGAGAAGTAGAGGGCCACAGCAGGTGAGGGGAAGAAGAAGATTCTCAAGCCAGCCTGCTAATCGCCTCTTAAAGTGATTAGGCCTCTCCCTCCTTGTCTTCAGGGGGACCTGGAGCCCGTCCTACCCCACTCCAGGCCATGATGATGCTAAGGTTCATCGCACTTGCTCTGGTGGCAGGTACAGTGGGGCTTAGAGGGAACTGTGGGGCCTCTCCCTCCTATTTCTAAGTCCTCTCCCCTATGATCCAGGAGGTACCTGCTTGGAGATCACTCCCGTGATCTGGTCTCAGCTATACCAGGCATGGTCAAGTGGGTCTCAGAGGAGGACTGAGGGGAGCTGGGTTACCCCAAAAGCTTAGGATAGCCACTAATGACCTGGAAGTACGTAGTCTTAAGGCAGTACATGCCAGCTGACTCCTTTGCTGCTCCCCGCCCTCACTTCTGGGGGTTTCTTTACCAGCCTCTTATGTATGTCTTTTGTCCCCTTCAGGGCATGTAGGGGGAGAGACGAGGATCATCAAGGGTTACGAGTGCTCCCCTCACTCCCAGCCATGGCAGGTGGCCCTCTTTCAGAAGACTCGGCTGCTCTGTGGGGCAACCCTCATCGCTCCCAAATGGCTCCTGACAGCAGCCCACTGCCGCAAGCCGTGGGTGCGGGGGCTGGGGCGGGGCTGGGAGGGGGCTGGAGATGGAGAGATGGATGGAGAGAGGGGCTGGGGCGGAGGCAGCAGTGGGTGGAGGGACGAGGAGGGTGGTGTGGCGTTGGCATGGGTGATGGGGGTGTGATCAGGACTAGAGAGGAGAAGGTAGTTGGGACTGAAGATGGAGGGGTGGGGGATGGAGTGGTGTTAGACTGTGTGATGAGGATCTAGTTGGGTTGATGATAAAGGGATGAGGTGGCTTTAGCGTGGATGATGGTACTCTAGCCAGGGTGAGGATGAAGGATGCTGGAAGTGGGATGGGGCCGGGTGTTCACAAGGTACAATTCATCATCTCTCCCTCCCCACCCCTGCCCTGTCCTCCTCCCCTTCTACCTCTGACCACATCTCTCCCACCTCAGCCACTACGTGGTCCTCCTTGGGGAGCACAATCTGGAGAAGACAGATGGCTGGGAGCAGAGGCGGACGGCCACTGAGTCCTTCCCCCACCCCGACTTCAACAACAGCCTCCCCAACAAAGACCACCGGAACGACATAATGCTTGTGAAGCTGTCCTCTCCCGCCCTCATTACCCGAGCCGTGCGGCCGCTCACCCTGTCTCCACACTGTGTCATGGCGGGCACCAGCTGCCTCATTTCCGGATGGGGCACCACGTCCAGCCCCCAGTGTAGGGGCTCTGGGGGGAAACGTGATGGGGTGGGAGGCGGGGTGTGGGGGAAGGAGACAAGATGGATCTTCAGAGAGAAAGATCAGAGTCACTCAAGAGGCATGGTTACCTGGGCTGTCAAGAGAGGGGTGAGCTGAAAGGAAGATGAGGGATTCTGGGGGACTCGCTTTCGGGCCTCAAGACTGAGACAGGTGTGATTCCCAAATTTATAACTCTCTAGCTGTGGGATCTAAAGCAGGTGGCTTTACCCCTCTGAACTTTGGTTTTCTCTGTAAAAAGGATGATCGTAGCCCCCTACCACAGGGGGTCAGAGAGAACACATGGGGAGCAAGCAGCAGGAAGATTTTACTCACAGCACGGCTGTTGCTATAGTTATTACAAGCATAGAGACGGATAAGGGCAAGCAAGGGCTGTCTCAGGTGCTGGCTACTGTGGCGGGATTGGAGAATCCGGTGCTCGCTGCTCACACCCTCCGCTGCTATCCCCACAGTGCGCCTGCCTCATGCCTTACGATGCGCCAACGTCTCCATCATTGAACACGAGAAGTGTGAGAGGGCCTACCCGGGCAACATCACAGACACCATGCTGTGCGCCAGCGTTCGGAAAGAGGGCAAGGACTCCTGTCAGGTCAGCAGGCAGGGGCTGGGGTTCCAGCCACATACCCGTTCCAACCTCAGTCGCATCTTTCCTGACATCTGCAGCCCTGACCCCAACATCTCCAACCCTGCTGTCATTTCTGACGTCAACACAATCCCTGCCTGCTCCCGCTTACCCTCGTTTCCAACTCCAGCCACCCATCAAATAGAATGTAGATGGACCCTGACTCCATCTACATTCTCACCCAGAATCCCAATTTTATCTCCCAACCTGGCACCAGTCCCACTGACAAATTCGGCCTTTGCCTGCTTCCCACCGCCACCACTGAACTCGCTCCCACCACAAGTACCCCACTTGACTCTAACAGATTGTGTCTCCTCTCTCATCAGGGTGACTCCGGAGGCCCTCTGGTCTGTAACGGATCTCTTCAAGGCATCATCTCGTGGGGTCAGGACCCATGTGCGGTTACCAGAAAGCCCGGTGTCTATACAAAAGTGTGCAAATTCATAGAATGGGTCTACCACACTATGAGGAACAACTAGAGGGGACCTGCTCGCCACCACCAGATCTCTCCACTCCTTAATGCTTTGACTTCTGTCCATTCTGCCCTAAGAAGCCCGCAGCGGGGACCTTTGCATGCACTGTCTTTTGACCCATTGTGGGTATAATTTAGGGGATGCTCTAGCCTGACGATTGACTTGGGGCTTGAACTAAGTTGTGACTCTGGACTTGATCATCACTGGTTTTGTTTATTTGGTTGGTTTTTGTTGTTTTATCCCTATCCCTGAAGACAGTCCCTGGCATATTCCAGGGTTTCAATAAACGTTTGTTAGATGATAAGTGGTTCTGTTGAGTGCTGACTGCATACGAATCCTGAGGCAGAGGACTTTTAAATGATTTATGAGTGTGAGTGCTTGTCTGCTTGTGTATGTGTGCATCATATGTCTGCTTGGTGCCCGAGGAGTCCAGAAGAGGATGTCGGATCCCTTGGGTGCTGGAGGCAAAGCCTGGTCCTTGGTAAGCACAGCAAGAGCACACATCCTCTGAACCGCTGGGCATCTCCCCAGTCCCTGAAAGGTCTTTTAAGTGTCACTAACCAACTGAATGCTCACAAACCCCTGAGGAGAATGATCCTATTTTCCTACCCACTTTGCAAACATCAAAGTGGGCACAGACAAATGAAGACTCACAGCCATACAGCTGAGAAGTGAAAGACTGGGGGATTTAGAAGCCCAATGACTGTCTTAGCTATCAACCCAAGGCCACATTAAAGTTCAGTTCATTTTATTTTATTTTTATGTTAGGTTTTTTTTTTTTTTTTTTTTTGGTGGGCTGGGGGAGAAGGCTCATGCCACGGTGGGCTTGTGGAAGTCAGAGAGCAAATTGCAGGATTCAGTTCTCTCCTTCCACCATGTGGGGGTCTCAGGATCAGACGCAGGTTGTCAGGCTTGGCCACAGCACCCTAACCCACCAAGCCATCTTGCTGGCTGGGCAGAAGGAACTCACTCAGTTTATTTTCCTATGTGGGAAACTGCACATGCAAAAGCACAACAGCAACAAGTGCATCCGCGTGCATTTTCCAGCTGCCCAGATTCAGTTCACTGAGGTCAGTGCTGACTGGCGTTTGCTGGCCAAAATGAAGTCAAAGGACACAAAAGCAGAAAGGAAGTTTCTGTCACTTTTGGAGCTCCATGCAGCTATGTACAGCATAACTACTGTGAGCAAAGATCTGGACAGGGCTGAGCCAGGCAACCTCTGAAGTTAACCTTGTCTGACAGACAAGGTGCCCCAGATAACACCGTACTTCTGTTCAGCGCTTAGGGAGAGATCGCTGGCACAAGGAGGAAGAACTCGGAGCTGTAACCAGATAGAACCTCCTGGTTGTTAGGCGGACTTGCTTGCCGTTTGACCTCTTATGAGTCACGGTCCTCTCTGAACCTCCCATTCCTCACCCAAAATGAGGGTGTCAGCTGAGGTGATGTGGCCTGTCCCTTGAAGCCTGGGCCTCCTGTGATTCACCAGCTTGTGTGTCACCCAAAGACACACAGGGAGGGTGCACGATGCTCACACACAGGTTTAGTGCAAAGCTACAGCCTCCCAGCCCCACCCCCCAAGCACACCCTGAGACACAAGAAGCCAACTGTTCCTTGGTTTAGACATTTAGGAGCTTGTCTGTGTCCTTCCCACTCTTTCCCTCTACCTCCCTGAACTCTGCCCACCTCCTTCTGCATTCCAACACCTGTGAGCACCTACCCCTCGCCTTCACTTCCCCTCTCACCTACCCTTGGCATCACTCACTATATCCCATCACCCCAGGCTCCCAGAAGACTTGATTCCCCCCATCCTCCCACCACACCTGGGAACACTTCCCAGAACAGGGCATGGGGGAACCCCCAAAGAAACCAGCTCAAAAAGGTGTTCCTGTCACTGGCAGAAGCCTGTATTCCAGGGCCCCTCCCAGAGCAGGAATCTGGGGCCCTGGTTCACTGCCAGCCCCACCTACATTATAATTAGGGAGAGGGAAAGAGAGGGAGTGAATCCCTGAGGGGAAGGGTGGGGGAAAGCTTCCGGGATCTTGAGGGTTAAAAGGGAAGTCTGACCAGGGGTCCCTGGTCAGAGGACTGTTTGCAGCCCACACTGCAGGGCAAGAGATACTTCTGAGTCTCCTCCCTCCTTCCTCCTGGCGACTCACAGGTGAAGCGGGATGCACCCCACCCCTGGTTGGGGTGGATGGCCAGAGGATGGGTGGAGACCCTCGGGCCATAAGCAGGAACTCTTTTGTAGCCCTGATTTCCCTGTGGCACGGGAAAGTCCCTCAGCTCTGAGGTGAGGAAGAGGCTCCCACCGGCTCAGAGCAGGACCCCCACCCACCCAAGGAGTGTGGACCTGGAGCCCAGCGTGGCCGGTGGCCGAGAAAGACTGGCTGCACAAATCCCTGCCCGCTGGAGTAGCTAGGCCTGGCAGGCCTGGCGTCCTGAGGGCCCGTGGAGGGGGTCCAGTGAGGGGGCCCTGGCTCTCTGAGGCAGGGGTCTTGACAGAGCATCTCTTTTAGCCCTGCACTCCAGCCTCTGCAAGCCAGGCATCAGCCATGAGGGCCCCGCTTCTCCACCTCTCCACTGCCTTTGGCGCCTTGGCCCCGGTGAAGCTGCTGCTGCCGCTACTGATGGTGCAACTCTCCGGTGAGCCTGGGGCCGGGGGCGACAGGAGGGAAGGGCCAGGACCGGAGGAGGAGGGAATGTTGCCGCTGCTGCAACCCAACCGTAGTCAGCTCGCCCTCTTGGGGGCCCGGCACCCACAGAGCCATCCCAAGAAGGCTCCACCCGCGGGTGGGCTCTGTCCCCAGATGCCGCGCCCCGCTGTTAGAGAACCCAGCCTATTTCACTCTATTCGCTTCCGCCTCTTCTGCCTTGCACGCCTTCTCCTCGCCCCTTGCGGAGCCACTGCGTCCTTGCCTCCTTCTAAACGAGGTCCTACAGTATCCCTAACCCGCTGGGCGGCGTTGGAGCCCTTCCCGTCACTGAACTACCTTCCCCCTACAGATCTCTTCCTACTTGCCTGGAACTTCTTATTGTTCTGGTCCCATCCCTCACTGCCCCACTGCGTGTCCCGTCTCCTGCTTCATTCTGCCTCCACTGGGTTGATTTTTCCCGTCACCGCCCCGCTGTATTCCCTCCTTGCCCCTTACTGCTCCCCACTGTGTCTCTGACCCTTTCTGACTGACCCCCTCTCCCCCCATCGTCCTTATGCACTGTGCCCTGCCTAGTTCCCCATCTGCCCCGTAGGTTAGAGCCCAGCCTTTCCTGCACACGGTCCCAGCCCCATCCCTCCAGCCCCTCCAGCCTCAGCCCTGAGGTGTTCCATTCTACTGCATCCCTTCTTGCCCTTTCACGCCTCTGCAACTGGTTCGCAGAGTTCCTAAGTCTTCCACGGCTCGCGATCCCGCTGCGCCCCCTACAGGACGATCAGATAAAGCTGGGCCCTGACCCGGTACCCAACCCGGGCGGAGTGAGATCTGACCCCTTGCCGGCTTCTCTATCCAGCCGTTCAGGCTCTGCTGCTTCCGGGAAACGCCACGCGCGTGGACCTCGAGGCATCCGGCGCCCCGTGCGGGCGTGACTCGCATCCCTGGCAGGTCTCCCTCTTCCATAACCTCCAGTTCCAATGCGCGGGTGTCCTCGTGGATCCGAGCTGGGTGCTGACGGCCGCACATTGCTGGAGGAAGAAGTAAGGAACGCCCCCAGAGGCAGCCTTGGAGGACGGGGTGGTTGCGGCCCAGGCACTTGACCAGCTCCGTGGTGGCGGCCGTCCTGCAAAAGAGGCAGGATCAAAGTTGCACGGCCAGGGTTGGGCGCTGTGAATGAATGAAGGTTGAATGAACCAGGGGTTCGTTAAGTCCCCAGTCCTCCTCCCTCAGTCCCAGCTCCCCTCCCAGACCCCACTTCACTTTCCCACCCTCCGACCCAAGGGCTGAGATCAGGTTCTGTCTCCATGAAGGTTTTGCCTCCATTTCGTTCTTCCTTCTGCAGGCCACTGAGAGCGCGAATTGGGGATGACCACTTACTGCTTTTCCAGAAGGAGCAGCTTCGGTCCACGAGTTCCCCTGTTTTTCACCCTAAGTACCAGCCTTACTCAGGCCCCATCCTGCCACATCGCTCGGATGAACATGACCTCATGATGCTGAAGCTGAGCAGTCCTGTGGTACTGACGGCCAGCGTGCATCCCGCGCAACTGCCCTTCCGGTGTGCTCAGCCAGGGCAGGAGTGCCAGGTCGCAGGCTGGGGGACCACAGCATCCCGGAGAGGTAAGAGCTGGACTGGAGGAGTGGACCTTAGGGATGAGGGCAGGACTCCTGGGTTTAAGGGAGGACGCTGTGGCCCGGCTTTCTTGGTCTGGAGGAGAAGGTCGAGCGAGAGCTGGGTTGGGGGAGGGGGCTGGGGCCAGATCCCCGAGTCTGAGATTAGACGGTTGGAGTTTGTACCCCTGGGTCTGGGGAAGAGGGCTGCAGTGTAGACACCTCCGTGTGAGGTCGGAAGGCTGGGGGCTGGACTCTGGGGTCCGGAGGGGAGGGCTACCTGGTCCCTGTGTGACTGGCTTGTCCTTCTCAGTGAAGTACAACAGGAGCCTGAGCTGCTCCAGGGTAACTCTCCTTAGCCGGAAGCAGTGTGAGGTCTTCTACCCCGGCGTGATCACCAACAACATGATTTGTGCGGGGCTGGACAGAAACCAGGATTCTTGCCAGGTAAGGGCAGATCAGGAAGCGTCTGTCTCCTGGATAGGATGGCAGGAAGACAGTGAAAGAGCTGGCTCCGTCTTCCCCCTCCTCCCTCCCTAATCGGCAGTCCTCCCTACTCTTTACCCCCTTTCTCAACGCACTTCCTCAGTCCATTTCATGCCTGGCCAACCCCTATCTCCTGAAGCTCTCAGTCTCCTCGCCTCTGATAAGCCACAGTGCCAGCTGCAAACCCATCACATCTCCACTGTCACCCTCCGACTTGACCCCCAATGCCAACATTACTTCTGCCTGCATCTCCTTAGCACCCCAACCTCTATCTAACATCACTCCAGCCCCATGGGGCATCTTCGGCATTGTCCAGCCGTAGCCCTCCAGACAATGACAGCTCACTCGCTTCATGGTATCTCCCTCCTCCCACCTTCAGAGTGACTCTGGCGGCCCCCTGGTGTGCGACGACACCCTGCATGGCGTCCTCTCGTGGGGCGTCTATCCATGCGGTGCTGCCCTCCACCCGGCTGTCTTCACCGAGATCTGCAAATACGTCCCTTGGATCCGGAGAGTCATTCGTTCCAAATGACCAGCCTCTCACGCCCTTCATCCCACTCCACCTGCCCACCCCTTCTCCTCCCTTCATGCCCGCCCACACCCCTGAGCATGTATCCTCTTCCCTCACCCCCTGACCACTCCTGTTCTCTGCTCACAACGGCAGAAAATGGTGGCTGAGAAAGTTCTAGTAACTCAAGGAAGCTGGCAGTCTCCCAGGCTCTAAGAGAGTCATTCAACCCGGTTTCCTCTACCTCCCTCCTCTGCGTGACTGGGACGAGCATGGTACTCTCTCTGAGCCTTGGTTTCTTAGTCTGAAAAATGGGGACAATGAATTGTCTACCTCTTACATAGGCTGTATGGAGACCATGATGGGATATGCGTGTGTGTGGATTTTTACGGTAATTGTCACGGAGACATGAACACAGTCTGGTGAGCACTGATTAAACACTGCCTGATCTGACCTCCAGTGTGTGTGCCTCTGTCTGGGATCAGAGCCGGTGAGGGCGCAGAGGGCAGCCTTCCTGTATGTCAGTAACAAGGAAGGGGCAGGCCCCACGCTGCCACCCACAGCTTCCTCCAAGTTCTTTTGTCTTTTAGGGACCTCAGTTCAGGTAAAACTTGATCTCACGACAACACAGTATGCAGTGGCGTTGGAGGCTGTTTTGCTTTTTAAAATCACACTTATTTTATGTGCGTGCACGCACGCATGCACGAATGCACGCACACAGCATGGTACATGTGCAGAAGTCAGAGGCAGTTGGTTCTTCCCTTCTACCTTTCGGGGCCCAGAGTTTGAACTCCGGTCATCTGGCTCAACGGTAAACACCTTTATCCCTGAGTCGGCTCACCTGCCCCAGGAGTGTGGGCTCCTAACCCAGCTCGCTGCTTTTCGCAGCAGTCAGATGGGGTTTTCAGTGGGGCTGAAAGTTACCGTCACGTGGATATCTGGTTGTACCAATACGATTGTGTCGTTGCACCTAAATGAGATCACAGGGTGGCTCCCGGGGCATCTGGTGGGGTTACAGCACAGGGGTGCAACTCCAGAGCAGACCCTCCTGAGTCCCCCCGATCTGGAGTCGAACCTTCACTCTCCACGGTCAACAGTCTTGTCTCCGAGGATCTCAGAAAATTCTTCGGAGAGGCTCGAGGCCCCACCCCAGGTCAGATTCTCTCAGGCCTTTGGCCTGGATGGCTGTGATCTCAGAATTCTTTTCTGAATTCTTTCTACACAAAAGAAATACTGGACCAGCCAGTTAGCTCCACGGGTCACACAGGTGGAAGGAGGAAGCAGACAGACACACGTACACGGCGGCACACTCGTGCGTGACCACACGCGAAGCAAGGAAACGTTAAAGCTGAAAGAAGAAAAGTCTGGAGAGAGGTTTCAACAGTCAAGACTATGGGCTGCTCTTCCAGAGGACCTGGACCCAACTCCTAGCATCCGCATGACAGTTCGTGATGAGCTGTAATTCCTGTTTCAGGGGATCTGATGCTCTCTTCTGGTCCCCAGTCATACATGTGCTGCACAGACATACATGCAGGCAAAACAACAAAACACATAAAATTCCAAACATTTAAATTATGGCTGGTGTCTTAGTTAGAGTTTCTATGGCTGCAATGAAACACTATGACCAAAAAGCAAGTTGAAGCAAAAAGAGTTTATTTGTCTTACACTTCTGAAATATTGCTGTCCATCACCAAAGGAAGTCAGGACAGGAACTCGAGCAGGGCAGGGACCTGGAGGCAGGAGCTGATGCAGAGGCCATGGAGGGGTGCTGCTGACTGGCGTGCCCCCCTCATGGCTTGCTCAGCCTGCTTTCTTATAGAACCCAGGGCTACCATAGAAGCCCGGGGATGGCCCCACCCACAATGGGCTGGGCCTTCCCTATTGATCACTAGTTGAGAAAATGCCTTAGAGCTGGAGCTCATGGAGGCATTTCCTCATGGAGGCTCCTTCCTCTCTGATGACTCTAGCTCGTGTCAAGTTGACACAAAACCAGTCAGCACAGCTGGAGAGATGGCTCAGTGGTTAAGAGTGTGTACTGCTCTTGCAGAGAAACCTGAGTTTGGTCCCCAGTACCCAAGGGGTCAGATGCAGCTGGCCTCTTCAGGCACCTGCACTCACATCCATGTACTCACAGACAGACACACAAATATACATAATTGAAATAAATAATAACCATCACCCTGACCAACAAAAGCTAAGACACAGAAACAAACCAACTAAAACAACTTAGTTAATTGTGCTGGAATCCCTGACTCTTAGCCAGTGAGAGCCTTCAGCTAGACTCTGGAGTCAGGAAGTCCTCTTCCATCATTTTCCCCTTCTCTCCTGCCTCGCTCCCACTACCTCAGGACTGATGGGAAATTAGATTCTTCGTTCTTCCAAAGCTTCCAAAAGTGTCTTTTAATCACTTCCTCTTCCTCTCCCACTAGGTCTCATTTCTAGGTCTACCTAGCACTAGTTTTTCCTGCCCTGGCAAGAACCTGACTTTGGGTCACCTGGCACATTCTCTGTCTTCCTAGGGACCCTGGAACTCAGGGATCCCCACAGCATCCTCACCCACTCCCAGCTTCAGCAGAGAGCCCCCACTGCTGAACTCCCATGAAGCCACTCTGTGAGGTTTAGGATAAATTGTGTTGTAACTTACAGGGCTGAGGGTTTTGTCAGACAGATTATTTTCCCTACCTTGATGTGGCCTGTGGAGAAATGTTTCTATTTTGAAAGGTGAATGGAGCTCTTCACAGAAGGCAGATGACATGGAAATGTGTTTGAGCATCCTGACTTAGCCTAGACCTAAATAAAGGGAACACAGAAATCTTGGCAGAGGGGCATTTAGTTTGGGCTTAAAGGATGAATAAGAGTTCATCAGAAGAAGGCTATAGAGAAAGGCATTCACTTATTCAATCAGTGTTTTTTCCTTTCAAGCACCAACTAATTGTGTCTCTGTTACACGCCAGGCCCAGTGTGGGAAGTGTGGGAAATAATGACCGTGGAAGGATCCCTGTTCCCAGCAAAGCCCATGGAGTGTTGCTGTCCAAGGTCAGAACATGGGGCCTGACCTACAGCTCCCTTCCGTCGGCATTTCCCCCACCCGCACCATCAGCACACCCAGGAAATGTCAGACCTGTGTGTCACATGAGGCTCTGAAGCATAGTATGTGGGGTCTTGCAGACTGGCCTCATGTTTGGAGGTAATATATCCATGTCCTCTGCCAGGCCCCAAAGATGACTCCAACCAAACCCTACCCCCCAGGAAGCTGCTCATCAGGTCGGGAGACAGGCAAGTCTCACATTCCTGTCATTCAGGTCTCTGTGAGGTCACCTACTCCAGGAGGCCTTCCTGGATTGCCCTAGACAAAGTGTCTCATGTTGGTTGCCAATCTCCATGGCTCAACCCATTTCCTCTGGGATACCTGTGACAGCTGCTGTCATATTGTTTGTGTCTTAATAACATCCTCCCGTCACTCTCTATGTTAGCCTTACCCTGAAACAGAGATATATGCTACATCAGACACGTGCATATTAAATGAGATAGGAGAAAAAAACTTATTTCAGTCCAGGCTATCGAGGGGCTGGAGATGGCTCAATGCTTAAGAGCTCTGGGTGAGCACAGAGAACCCAGGCTTAGTTCCCAGCACAGTGGCCCACAGCCATCTGTCACCACAGGGACCCAAGACCTTCCCTGACCTCCGCAGATGCCAGCTCTGCACGTGGCATGCACACACACACATCCGGGGGAAAAAAAATGTTCATTCGTATAACGTAAAATTCTAGAATCTATCTTCTATCATCTGTCTGTCTGTCTATCTACCTTCTTGCCTGTCTGCCTATATGAAACCCTGCTCTGGATGACTGGGCTGGAGAGATGGCTCAGTAGGCAGAGCTGCCAACGCTGTTGAGCTGAGTCTGATCCTCAGGACCCCATAGTGGATGGAGAGAATCGACTCCCATCCAAGGAAGTTGTCCTTTGACCTCCACATGCATTTCCTATCATGCCCACATACAATAAATTAGATAAATGTACTTTTAAAAAGATAGCCGTTAGAGCACTTAACTGCTTAGCGTGAGACTGCGGTTCATGCCCGGCACGAACACCTGTGACGCATGAATGAAATAAATCTTTTACTAGAAAGGGTGGCTATTAACATGCATTTTTAAAAGATTAAAAAAAAATGTGTGTGCGTGGATGAGCATGTACCTTGGGATGCCAGGAGAGGGCATGAGATCCCCGGGATCTGGAACGTGCAGAGGCTGCCGCCAGCCACCTGGTGAGGATGTTGAGAACGGAACTCAGGTCCTCTGGAAGAGCAGAACACGCTCGTTATCACTGAGCCACCATCCCCCTGGCCCCTAAACGGCATTCTTAAAGCATGTAATGTGGTCCTTAGCACAGCGCGTCTACTCCCAGCTTCAGAGACCCCCACATCCGCACAGGGAGTCACCGTGTCCTTGGCTGACGTGCTTGAAGACTGCGGGGCTCGTGGGGGAGGAAGACAGCTTTCTGAGTATTCTTCACGTAGCAGGCACTTCTTTTTGGAACGTGTGTGTTTCTGTTCCATGTGGAGCACGGAGGTCCACATCAATTGTTCCCCTCTATCGATCCCCAGATCCCCACCCTTTCTTCTTTTTGCAAATATCATTCTTTCACCTTTTAAAAAACTGTATTCATTTATTTAATTTGTATAGGCATTTTGCCTTCTGTGTGTCTGTGCACGATGTGCATGCAGTGCCCAAGGGGGCCAGCAGAGGGCGTCAGAGCCCCTGGAGCCGGGGTTAACATCTGCGAACCACCAAGCCGTCCTCTGGAAGAGCAGCCAGCGCTCTTAACCCCTGGGCCACCTTCCCAACCCCCTCACCTCTTCTTATTACATTTTATTATTTTTAATTCATGTACATGTGATGGGGGCTGAGAGGAAGTCATGCCACAGTACACACGTAAAGGTCACAAAATTCTTTTTTTTTTCCTTCCACCATGTGGCTCCTGGGGATCAAATTCAGGTCAGGTTTGTTAACAAGTGTCTTTACACA